AAACAAATTCAAAGAAAATTATCATAAACTATGTGTGTATGCAAGAAAGAGAAAAGATTTAGTTGTATGTAACTAATTACTCGGTGAAGAAGATGAGCTGAGCGGAGAGGAGAGAGGAGGCAGGCGGCGGAACACCTTACAGGAATGTAGGAGAAGAAAACCAGAAAATGGAGCAAATAGTACGGTTCGGAAACCATACGATTCATCCAGATGGATGACGACATTTCTGAATCGGCAGATCTCTGAAAATTTGGAAACTCAAAACAGTTGGCCCTCATAGAATACATAGGCTCTTGATGTTGACTATCCAATATGGGGAGATGTCGGGGTTTGTAACAGTTATCTGTCGGAAATAGTTGATCTAACGGTTACAAATTTCGATAGAATGATTCTGTAACCGGACCCGTAACGTATTTATCAAATATGTATACTTTTTAATCTCGATTTTAATGGGTTGTTACAAACCATGTTTCATTTTTTGATCATATTAGTCACCCATTTCAAAATGTTGAAGTTTCTATAATCTACCCATGTTAGTGCTTTTTGCAATTGTTTCGTCAAATATAAATATATCATTGTTGATATCCAGATCGGCCCAACTCGAAATAATCGGTTCGGTCGACAAAACCAGGGAAAACCGCCCCCGAGGGTGGGACCGGGCAGAAAGCTGACGGTGGGTACCGAACTGGTTGAAGGTCAAAATCGGTGGTGGCGGTGTTTTGAGTACTACTCGAGATCGGTACCTACCTGCCTCCGTCGGGGAGCCGACCCGTCGGAGTGCCGAGCCGAGTACGAATCTCGAGGGCCTCGGAGGGGTCCTTTCCCGAGTGCCGACCTGAGGGCTTGCAAGGGACGACCCGAGAATCAGAGCCGAACATGAAAGTAATATAATATACAACTTGCTGCTTAATTATTATTGATGGGACGGGCCGACCTAGCCTACTAACCTAGAGGACCTAGCCCGGCAAAAGGAGCTGATAGCATTTAATGTTGCCCATGTGGACATTAAATGTCTAGCTAGCAATGATTGGAGAGCCTCAAATCACATTTAATGATCTGTCAGGAAAGCGTCGATCAGGACTGCAGGATTACTGTACGACAAGACGGTGAACAGTGTCGGAATAGTGGCATTTAATGACACTATAAATAGTCCCCCACCTCATTTATGCACGGGTTGTTGAAACCTCAACTAACAGGCCCTTTCCCTCTACTTTCTCTCTCTAAAAA